GCCAATCATCCTTTTTAATTCCATTTATTGAAATTCACAATGGGAATGACTTATGACAACATTTTAAATCACGAGTTATTTTGCTAATGGATAAAAAATTACACGAGAGATTTGGAACATAAAGAACATTTTGAAAAATAAGAGATTTTGAAATAGTTATTGATTATTTTTCAATAATTGCTGAAAAAGAACAATCAATAGTTTTAATTTTGGATTTCTTGCATACAAACTATTAGAAGAAAATAATTTAGAAGAGCTTGTCATATGGTCCATTGCACCTAAATCGATGATCCATGGACAGCTAGTATTGGAAACATATTAAAAGTAATAACTTGAAGATAATTATCATTTTTAGTTAAGGAATAAAAGAAAGACATATTGTTTGAAAATTGTGTGGATTGACATAATTTATACAGTTGGTCTAACTATTCTTTACTAAAAAGAGTGTCTTTATAGTTTCTCTTGAACCATTGGGATTAGCTTGCTCCTCGACACCTATTTAGAATGCTTTTGATCCACGTTTGGATGATCTAGGCTTCTAATTATATGGTTTTTTATATAGTTCTTAACATTTATCTCTTGTGTGTCGTGACTTGCAACAATAACCACATCGCCCTTTTTTACCTCTTCTATTCTTTCATGACTATCCAGATTTAGCATAAGGATTGGTCTTAGTGACTAGAGTAGAAACTTTAATAGCAAGCTGGTTATTCTCTCCCAACATTACCTTTTGTTGGCTTTCTTCTCTTATTGTTTTAGCAAACATTTCAAGAAAAGTAGGTAGTAGTTTCTTGCAAAAGATTCACATTTAACCCCATCCAGGTTCTTGTTTAACCTTGCCAAAGAAACATACACTCTATCATTTTTCATCCTCTTCATATATCTTACACTATCATTTACACACTCCCAATCTTTTTAATAACACAATTCCAACTCTTGCCATAATGCTTTCATCTCATTATAATACTCTGTCACATCTCAACCTCCTTGTTTAGAATGCCATAATTTAGTTTTGAACTAAAAAAATTTGAGATGAGTTTTCTATATTTGAGTATGTCTCTCAAATTGTTTCCTATACTTTTTTCATAGTTGGCAAAAATAGATAGGTTTTTCTAGTTGCTAGCTTTACGGAATTGACAAGCCACATAGTCACTAAAAAATTCTTTGATCTCTATGTCTTTAATGTTGGATCATTGTATGTTGGTTTCTTTGTCTTACTTGTCAAACGGCCAAGCTTTCCCTTTCCATCAATCATGAGCTTGATTGATTATGCCTAATCTAGATAATTTTTACAGTTTAGTTTGTGAGCAATCAATTAAACAAATGAGTTTTCAAATCCATTAAGATTGACAACAAAAACGGGCAAAATACTTTCAATAACAACACTTGTCAATGTGGTTCCTTTTTCTTCGATCATGTCTATTTTGAGCAATATGACTTTTAGTGAAATGCTTATGCTCTGATACCATGTGAGTGGAATAGAGGAGAAAGGAAAATGATTTCTTATTCATTAATTTAAAAATTACAAAAGATTAAATGGACTAGGAATTTCTATCTAACCAAGCACAAAATTAGGAACTTAATAGCAACCTAATCAAATTCAAATTTATTGATATTTAATAGATAAGATTTTATTTTAAAAGACTAAATCCTGATATTTCTACAATTTTAATAAGAATCAACTAAACTAATCTTTGACTGAAGTGGAATGAGGTTTTGGAATGGTTTTAAAATTTTATTAAAAGATTTAATGTCTTAGTTAGAGACTAATATGGTCACACAAAATTGAGCTAAAGCTAATTTATACTCAATCTCAAACCGAGATATTAAGTGATGAAGGAATAATAATTATACTAAGAAATTAAGTATGGATAAGTTGGTTAAATTACATTGATTTTTCTTAACAATTGGAGTTCATGACTCATTGCTAGATGACAATCATGATTTATAAATATAATATTAAAGAATTAATAATAAATTCTAATGGTTTGATTCATCTAATTCGATTTAATTAATAATTAAAATTTTTATATTTATTGTCAACATGTTAAGAAACCTAATTGATCAAACACATATAGAACATAGCATGTGTAAGATTAAATTAGGTTAAATTAAATGGGACTTAGTTGAAAAAACTTGGCAACTTCATAAAGACTAAATGGAATTAAATTAAAAGTCCGAAGAGAATGGCCAAAGACAAACTTAATTAGGTTTTGGAGTTGTCAAGTCACACCCTCTATCCTATGAGGCTATGTCGTCCTCTCTCACATATCTTTAGTCATCTTATGAGCAAAAGAATTCAGCTAAGCTTCTTCCCAATCTTATGAAGGATTTTTCATTTTATTCGTGTGAACTAATATTAGAAGCAGAACACTTTAACGGTAATTGGTTTACTATAAACAAGTTTGGTGTTTGTAGCACACAACTACCTAGAGGAATGAAAATTTCACTTTTTACTTCTTGATTGTATAATTATTTGTCAACATGATTCCAAGGTTTGGGAATTGTTAAAAATTTTGTTGCATTTACATTTTGTTTACATGATCAATTCACAACAACAAATTAAGTAATTTTATTTATATTTTTATTATGAAAATATATAATAGCATTTTAGTACATGAATATTTTGAATAGTGTCAAAATGAAAACATGCTTTCAAAAATAATAAAAATAAAAAATTCTTGTTTCCAATAATTTCTAAAATTTTGTTTTATGTTTTCAGTTTTTGAAAACAAAAAAACATGTTGCCAAGCATGTTTTTTGTTAAAAAAACATAAAAAGCTGAAAACAGAAATGAAAAACAGAAAAAGAAAAAAAAAAAGGCCAAGTGATCCCATAATTATCCAAGTATTGCTTTGGAAAATGTCGCATTTTATTTGATTCACTTCTTTCCCAATTCTTAGGAATGATAATAATGCATAAAATTTATATTTGATACGTTATTAGTATATAAATATTATATACTATTAATAAATTATGCAATTACACTTTATATAAAAAAAATTAATTTTAAAATTATAAGAAGTAAATACACTTAATCTTAAAAATATATATTTAAAATTAATTTCTTTATAAAATGTAATTGTTTGATCACTAATAGTGTATAACATCACAATGCATCAAATATAAATGGTAATATATATAAATATATATATAAGTATAGATACATTTACACTAGTGTAAGCATTATACAATTTTTTTATTTTTAGATCAAAATCATATTTATAATACTTATATTTTGCTATTTTGATCCAATGTTCTGTGTAACATTTATACTCATATATAATATACTTATACTAATGTAAGTAGATGCTTTATATATAAATATATATTCCCTTATGCCTCAGTCCAATCATTTCTGTTCTAAATATCTAGAAAAAAAAATTATATGGTATATATTTGGTATTTCAGGTAACAGGAAAGATGATTTTGGTCCAAGTAAAATCTTCGGGCCCAATAAATACCGACACATTGCCAGCTTGACCTAATAAAAAGACAAGTATACCAGTGTAAACGCAGTCCTTGTCTAGTGCGCTCATCAATTAACCAAAAGCAAGCATAATACTTCATTTACTGCTATACCCTCGAGGGCGACTTAACATCTTCAATATCAACTATTAATTTTTTTTTAGGAGATATCAATTATCAACTTAGAGGCTGGTTCAAATTTAAAATGGGGGCAGTTTGGTCATTCCATAGAATATACATTTATATGTATTGTACAATTTTAAAACTTTGAATTTATATTTAATACATTATCAATGTATAAATAATATATATTTTCAATATACCACATAATGATATTCTATAAAAAAATTAGTTTTAAAATTTTAAAATCCTAAAACAAAAATTTTTATTTTAAAAATATATTAAAAATAAATTTTTTATAAGATGATATTTTATGATTCATTAATAGTGTATAAAATGTATACATTGATATAGTATCAAATATAAATTCTAAAACCTTTTAAAGTTTTGCAAATAAAGATATTTTGTGGGTTTTTAAAAAAATTAATTTGCTATGAATATAAATTATTAATTTTACGCAACCATTAATAATTTCCTTTTTATAATTTTATATTTTTTTTAGTAATAATTATTCATAAAGTTAAGAAAAAGACTTTAAAATGAAAAATAATAGTAGTTTTGGAAATGGAATAATGGATTTGTGCAATATGCATATACATAATTTAAGTACATAAATTTGAGGCCGATATATTTTACATTCTCAAATTATATTTAAAATGAAAGAAAGGAATTTTTTTTGTGAAGAAGGTCAAAACCAAAATTAAGAAAATAATTATTTGTATTGTGATTTGAATTTTAGAGATATTGAATATCATATCTAAAAATAATTGCATGAATTCATTGAATTAAACATTAAATACAAAAGAGAAAAATTTTTTAATTCAAATTTAATTCAGCTGTTATATATATAATGAGATATGCTATAATGTTTTAATATCTTTTTGAGTTTATATTTAATGCACTGATAGTGTATAAATTATATACACTATGTAAGTTCATCATATTTTGCTTGTCACTCTTATCTTTTAGATTTATTAAAATTAATAATTAAAAAATATGTAAAACTTTTTTAATTTTAACTTGTGTAATTTGATCATTCTTCATATATATATATATATATATATATATATATATATATATATATATACACACACACATACATATATACAAATATGCATATATGCACAAATATGCATATATATATGTATATGTATGTATATATATATACATGTATATATACATATATATGTATATATATTTATACACACTTATATGTATATATATATACATATATATACACACACATATATATATGCATATATATATATACGCAAAAGCAAAAAATTTATTGTGTGAGATGAATATTAGAGGTTAGTTTATACATATATGTGTATATGTGTATATATACATACATATACATATATATATATATGCAAAAGCAAAAAATTTATTGTTTGAGATGAATTATGAGAGGTTAGTTTCTTTGCGGGGATGTTTCTCAATTTTGGCCCATCTCTCTCTGCTTGTGGGATCAAGTTTCAAGCATTTTGATTGGCTGTCTCTCTTACTTCCTTGTGAACAAGTTTTTATTGAGGAGAGGACACTCTACACTACGCACAATACCTGATGAAGATGAGGGTTGGAATTGAAGAAAGAAAGAGAGAAAAGCTGATACAATTACAAAAGCTGAATGTTTAAAAGCCTAAAAAGAAAGATGATAATCAAACCAAAAGAAAAGAAAGGAAAAGGGGCTCATCTCATGTTATACCTCTGACCATATCTTTCTCTCTCCCTCCCTTCATCTCCATCCTCTATTGGCTTTTTTTTTTTTTCCTATTTTTCATTTTCTTTTTAAATATATAGACTCCTCAACTTTACAGAGTGAGAAGAAAAAGCGAAGATCAGCAGCAGTTGGCAAAGGAAAATATATTGCTTTGCTTTGCCTCTTTGGCTTATATATATTAAACAAGTTAATCGCCCCAAGGAGAGGTTTTGCTGCAATATTTACCCATGTTGGCCAATAACTCTTGTTCTTCAGTTCCTTCTTCGGAGCCATTTTCCTGCTTAGAGAATGGTACTAATAACAATAAGAGGAAAAGAAGACCGGCAGGAACGCCAGGTACGTTCGCATGTATATATATGTAGCATGTATAAGCAATTTGATTTTTATCTAATTATTCAAAAGAAAATTGGACAATTTCTTTTTTCGTGGTTGATTTTCCGTTCTAATTTGAATATATACGCTTGGCTCGTGTAGATCCAGATGCAGAAGTAGTTTCTCTCTCGCCTAAGACACTACTAGAATCGGATCGTTACGTTTGTGAGATCTGCAATCAAGGATTCCAGAGAGACCAAAACCTACAGATGCACAGGCGGCGACACAAGGTTCCATGGAAGCTACTCAAGAGAGAATCTCCAGTGGTGAAAAAGCGGGTGTTCGTTTGCCCGGAGCCTAGTTGCTTGCACCATGACCCCTGCCATGCTCTAGGCGATTTGGTTGGGATCAAGAAGCACTTCAGGAGAAAACACAGCAACCACAAGCAATGGGTCTGCGAAAAATGTTCCAAGGGCTATGCAGTTCAATCTGATTATAAGGCCCATCTTAAAACCTGTGGCACCAGAGGCCATTCTTGTGACTGCGGCAGAGTTTTTTCAAGGTTATTTCATTTTCCTTTTTTATTTTCTTTCCTTTCACATAGACACATACCATAATCAAATATTTCAATTCCTTTCTACCACTTCCTTTTTCTTTTTTATCCTCAAAAAAAAAAAAATCAACAGAATGTTTTAGATCTATACTCAAATTTTCCCCGCGTGTTGCTGCTGGATTTTTAGCTTCTTTTATTTTTCCATCTTTTGGTAGTATTTTGAAGCAGAAAGGTTTTCGTATCAGTACGATGCCATGATTACATACTGAATTCTCTCTCTCAACCCCCCCCCCTTTCCCGATGACTTGAGTTTTGACTTGAAAAGGAAAAAGAAAAACCAATGGAAAGAAGGAAAAAGAAATATTAGTTTATTTTTGACTGATGAAACCTTAATCCAGTATTTTAACAGCTGCTTATAGGTGGTCACATTTCCCGAAGATCAGTTTCCGTTGTTGGTGTTACTGTTCGTTTCAAATCCGACCGGCCGCAGCTCAAAACCCAAAACATTTCCGCTCATTTGCGACAACATATTTTATTTCATGTGACTAAATGTCTTGAATGATTAGCTTTCAGTTTAGCTTAACATGGTATTGTTCTTCTTTTTTAATCGATAAATTCTCTTTCTATCATTTCTATCTCAATCAATCCTATTTCAGAAACTTTAATTCATAGATTTCAGTGTTCTTTTCTTTATATACATATTAATTAAATACTTGGATGGGTTTGATCTCTCTTTTTCCTTGTTTCTACCATCCATCTTCATCAATAAAGACATCTACTAGATCAAGCCTTTTAACATTTCCTCTTGTGCCACTTTCGAGCTATGTGGAATCATAACAGCTGTTTTACTTAATTTTAATTACTAAAAGCTAACACAACTATACATATAGTATATACTAAAATATATCTAGCTGATTTATTATTTATTTTCCCTTTTTCATTGTAGAGTTGAGAGTTTCATTGAACATCAAGATGCTTGCCATATGGGGCGTATCCGGCCAGAATCACAAGCACTGCAGCCGGCTTGCTTGTCGCGAACAGCTTCAAGCCCCAGTCGATCCAGTGATACCAATTTCAGTACAGCTCCTTGGCCTAGTTTGGGGTTAGCGAAGACATCGGATACCATTTTTTTGAGCCCTAGAAAAGATAATTCCCCTAAAAATGCGCACTACCACAATTTGGAGCTTCGACTCTTAACCACATCAAATCCCACTGAGGTCTCAGTTACCCCTAAAAAAGATGATAATCATTCAACCCAGTTACAGCTCTCAATCGGCTCATCCGATGTTGGCGACAAAATTGAATCATCTTTTACTTGTACAGACAAGGACGCAAGCAAGAAATCAGCTCATCAGGAGATTCATGAGAAACCAGGCTTTGTTGCGTCGAGGCTAAAAGAACAAGCTCGCGAGCAGTTAAGATTGGCAATGGCGGAGAAAACTTATGCTGAAGAGGCAAGACAACAAGCAAAAAGGCAGATTGAATTAGCTGAACAAGAGTTTGCCAAGGCAAAGAGAATCAGGCAACAATCACACGCTGAATTAGAAAAGGCTAAAGCTTTAAAAGATTGTGCAATAAAGCAAATCAACTCCACCATTCTTCAAATTACTTGCCATACTTGCAAACAGCAATTTCAAGCAAGAACTCCTCCCGAAGAGAACTCCCTAGTTGTGAGTTACATTTCGTCAGCTTTAACAGATGGTGAAGTTGAAAACGATATTCGATTAAATCTTACAAAGGCTACTAACACATAAACCAATCTCTCGAACTCATCTGTACGTCAACTTCTTTTTCTTTCATATTCCACCTCTTTCCTTCTTATATCTACTGATATACCAAAAATTGTTGTTTTGAACTTTTGATAATCTCAAGTTGATTAGTGGAGTGCTGTATCCTGCAATTTGTGTGATGTAATTTGTTCATTAATTTGGTTAAATGGGAGCTATATAGTGATGGGTTTTGTTAGTGAAATATTCAGGGTAATAAGTTGATCAATTAATATTAATCGTGCGTTTTTCTGAATTCTTTTTCTTTTAATTCACAAGAAATAACTGTTCCTCATTAGGTTTTTCCTACTCTGAACTATTACATTGAATGAAACCAGAAACACTTGTAAAAAATCGAATTCCTTTGCCTTTGATTAGGTTGGATTATCTGATTGGACAATTTGGAGATCTTTGTAGCCTGAGGAAGTCAGAAAATGGAGGTGGCCTTTCCCTCCCGCATTAAAGAATAGTACTGACCAATGTGTAATTTACAACCTAAAAACTTTCATAAATATCAATACAAAACAAAAAATGAGATAAAAGAAGGAATCTGATGGTCCTTTTCAACTGTTGCCCCGCCCTAGCCTTCTCAGATAAATGTAAATGCAAAAACGCCATGTTTTTCAGTGCCACAGTTGTAAGGGTTAATGACAGACTCACTCGTCCCTCTCAACGTTTTCTAGCACGCAGACACAAACAAACCCCTTTCATTCATTTTCATATACATCTCTCTCTCATCAGAATCAGGGCCACAGAGCAGTGGGTTGCTCAGAAAGAGCACAGCATCTTTCCATTTATGCAGAGACCATTCATAGCTTTTTCGGGTCAGTTGGAAGAAAAAATTACTCGGTTGAAAAAAAACTGCCTTCTATTGCTGTTACCTTTCACGATTTCAGCCAAAACAAAAAGGCGAACGGCAAGCCTAAAGCTGGACCTTTTTCAAGGGTTTTTCCTCTTAGCCTTTTTCTTGGAAAACGCGCTTCTTGTCTTTCTCTTTCGCCATTTCGATTATGTTGCTAGCTTGTCTTTCTTCTTGTTATCTGACTCATAAATGTTGCTTTTTTTGTTACCAAAATAAATAAATAATTAGTGTTCGCTGTTTTTTTTTTTTTTTTTTGTTCTAAATAAACATTACTCTCTTGAACATACTATATACAAAATTGTAATCAGTAGATAAATTCAACAGTACAATAAGGTATACGGTTCATTTTTACTACTGATGGGAAAACAACATCCGATACACCAAGAAGCAGAAGAACTAATCGGAGCTCTTTAGCCTTTTTATCTATTTTCGTGTACCTCATTAAGCTTAATCAGCGAGAAATTGAATTGCTAATAATTGTTGATAGTTTATAATGTGATATATTTTACATTGAATAAAAAGATCATTTATATATAGTTTAAAAGAGATTACTTATGTTATTTAAGTAATTGAATCGAGAGTTAGAGTGAACTAAATAATTTGAGCTTGTAAGAAGTTTTTTTAATTGGTCAAATAATTTTAAAAATTAACGATAAGCACTAAGGTATTTGAGCTTGTTTAATAAATATATTTAATTTTTAATTTTTTTATTTTAGAATATATTAATTTTGAACATAAACAAAATGATGATTCGAATAAACATACAAAAAATATGATTGTTTAAATAAATTTTATTTAAATAAAAAATATTATTATACAAAATGTCATGACTTTTTAAATTAGTTTAATTTATAATTATTCATTTATTATAAATAGATCTTTTTGTCTGATTAATTTTATTACTTCTTATTTAAAAAAATTTTTAAAATTTTATTGTATCCTATAAATATAATTACATTTAAAATAATCTTTTTCACGTTTCAAAATCATATTCTTTTTTTAATTTTCTAACAATAATATCATGCATGGCAGCAATGGTATGCGGGGTATATATGCATGCTAAGTCTACGTACGAACCAAAGTTGGAGCATGTGTTGGCTGCTCATCAATTTTCATCCTAATTTCCTCAATGACTGTATAGCCTGTCTCGATCGGAGTTAATTTTATGTTGGCCCAACAGGAGTTTCTACCCGAACTGACCTTCATTCTTCACTACCATTTAGGCTATTTTCAAGTTAATATTGAGTTGGCCCAACTGGAAGTGTTTATAACCTAAGCCGCTAAATAAATTTTAAAATCGTCCACATCACAGGCACAGTGAAAACTAGGTCCAGAGTCCAGATCCAAGAGTTGACCTCAAATTTTGAGTTGCAATTGGGGCCGATGACGAGGATTTATTTTCAGCTTTGAAGGTGATGAAAGCGTACTATATTTGAAAAGTTTAAATTAATTAGGATGAGTCCAACAACAGTTCTTTTAGATTTCACTTAAAACTTTGCATGTCATACTTTGTTGAAAGTTTACAATTAATAATAATACACTTATTAGTACCAAATTAACTATCATTCTCCTTAATTATATTATTTTGTAGCAACTATGAGGCAATTACCAATGAGGAGGTAATCTCCAACATTGACTCTTGATAAATAACTTGAGGTCATGAAATCTGAAATGGATGCCAAGGATGTAAATCGAGTATGAACTTTAGTTGATTCATTGATAAAATCCATATCGTACAAATGGATCTTTAGTAGAAAGACCAACGTGGATGACAATGTACAAATGTAAAAGGTTCAATTGGTTAAAAAATGCTATAAATATAGAGAGAATTAATTTTGAGGAAACTTTTTCACTAATTGTCATAGTTAAATCTATTCAGATTTTACTTGCTATTACTGCAATAATGATTAGGAGATATGACAAATGGATGTACTACAATCATGATTATGAAATATGACAGATAGATGTCAAAACTGCATTCCTTAATAAGACCTTGCAAGAGTAATTGTACATAACACAACCTGAAGATTTTGCATTCAAAGAGAATGCTAACAAGTGCAAGTGATGTGAGTTATTTGCAAGCAATGATTTAAATTACGGTAATGGTCATATTTATTGGCTTTGCGAATATAGTGAAGACAATAACAATCATTATAGTCATTTTTGTTATGAAAAATCTTTTAATTTTGAATAATTTGTTATAAAATACAATAATTATAATTATAATAATAAAAATAAAAAACTCTTATTTTATAGTTTTTAAAATAGTTTATGACACTTTATGTTTTTATTTTGCTTGAAAAAATTATTCACAAATTTTTTTTTAGATTATAACAAAACATTCATATTTGGTTTAGTAGCAAATTTTTACTTGAACCAAATTTATAATCAGTATTAACAAAAAACTCAAATATTAACAAAACATAAGATGTTAAAAGCAAAACATCTATATTTAATAATATTACAAACTTAAAAGTATAATAAATTTAAATTCCATAAATTACAATTATTTCTATATACTTCAAATTTTATCACATGATAGAATGATGAGGATGATCAAATTTTTTATCTTCACTTTGAAAGTGAAGTTGACCCATCCCCTTCCCTGTGGCGTTTATTCTTGATACATTTGAAAAGAAGGATACATTTGAAGATGATGCATTTGTGGTGGGGGATACATTTATGATCAAGGATATGTTTGAGGTGGAGTATAATTAGAGGTAGAGGATAAACTTGCAGTGGATAATAACCATGTGGAGGTTGATAACCACGAGGATGTTGAAAATTATATGGTTTCTGTCATGACGTTTAGGTTGTGACAACCTACTCATTAAATACAAAAAATCATAGAGTTTCTACCAATCTTTTTTTCTTATGTGTGATTGACCATCTTTGTATATCTATTTCTTTTAAGGTTATCCTAAACCTAAGCTAAGAGTTCCTAAAAAGAATAGATTCGATCTACATCAATAGAACTAAGTTCATGAGTCAATTACGTGTAGGAAAAGTATTAGCACCCATTTACTCCCAATATTAGTTCCCAATAAATTATGTGTTATCTTACCTAAACCTTATCAAAGATGATTTTTATCATGCAAATTAATTAATTTCAATCTTTTTATTTATTTACACAACATGATAATACAAAATTTCTATAAAAAAAATCAAATAGTCATGCAATCATGCAATAAATATTAAAAATCATACCATACAAAAATTATCATATAAATATATTATAAATTACATCAAATATCATGTAGTAATATCATGCCTAGATCATGGTAAAATACTCATCCAAGAATGCAATAATAATAATAATCATAATCATATAAATATATAATATCATGCAAATATATGATCATGCAATAATACCATGCAAAGATATTAATAACCATGCAAATATACTAATAACCATTCATGCAAATATATAATCATAAAATCAAATACACAAATATATTATGTAATTAAATATAATCATGCAATTATACACACAATAAATATAGAAACATGCAATTAAATATCATTCAAATATAATATTAATCATGCAATAACATATAATATCATATCATGCAATAATAATAATAAATAAATAATCATGTAAATAAATATATTAATAATCATACAATCACACAAATAAATAAATTAATAATCATGCAAATAGACATCCAATTAAACACATAATCATGCAATTAATAATGTAAATCATGCAAATAAACATGTAATTAACTATATAATCATGCAAATAAATATATATATACCATACAAATAAATATGCAGTTAAATATATATAATCATGCAAATAGTAATACATAAACCATTTAAATAAACATATAATTAAATATATAATCATGCAAATAATAATATATAAATCTTGTAATTAAATATATAATCATGCAAATAATAATATAAACATGCAATCATATAAATAATAATATATAAACCATGCAAAATATGCAATTAAATATATAATCATGTGATTAAAGTTTTTTTTTTAATTCAAACATATAATTAATAAATAATAGAATAAATAAAAAAATGGAAAATAAAGATATGAAAAAAAAAATTGAAAACATGATAATAGGAAATAAAATAAAAACTGAAACTGAAAAATAAAAGGAAAAACAAAAACAAAATCGTATGATTAGAATTGGATCTTACCGAGTCAAGGCAGAGGTAACACGCAGGTCTTAGCTTGGCAAAAATGGCGTCATTTTACTTCCCTATGAAAGCCAAAAATTTGCAACCATTTTCAGTTCAGCTCAGTTCCTTCTCTCTTTAAACCAAATTTCATCTATCCTTTCTTTAAAATTCACCAAAAAAACCCACCATCCGATCATAGATTTGCAGAATCCAACGCCAAAAAATTCAAACCATTGTCAAAAAATTTAAACAAACCCAAAATTCTACAT